TCTTTTTCACTAACCAATAAAGTGAAAATATTTTCTTTTTCACTCTTTTCTATGATGGAACTTTTCGAATCACCCATGCACATCCATACGCGATTACCCATGTCATTAGCCACCATTTCGGATCCATCCATACCTGTGTAGATTTGGGCGGGCCGGAAAAAATCAGGAAATCACTATTCATTTTCTCACTTTACCTTTGAATATTAGTAGATGTTTTAGTCTTTTTTTTTTTTTGAATTTTTTTAGCAGTACTCTCTCCGTCCGTGATAGATTTTTTCAAATATTCGTTATTCCTTGTGTTTGTGAGAGATCATCCCATTATCTTTTTAAGCATTTAAATTACCACAATTACCATACTAAATAAAAATCATAAAAAGTCAAATTGAGAAGATTTATGACAAACATGGAACGTAAAATTTCAACGAGCAAAATTGAGCATATTTTTAACATTAAAGACAATGGTTATGATGCAAAGAATAGTAAATATTGTTTCCCATTCAAGGCTACCACTTAAAAAGATACATTCAAGGCTACCACTAAACTTCTTTATTCCAAGGTTTAATTACCTAAGATTTAAAGTTTATGCTCATACTTATATGAGTCAACCGACTAAAATGGATGAAGTGAATTGAGTCGACTCATTAATTAAGCTCAGCACAAATGAATGCTCATAGTCCCTTCATACATTCAATCTTTGTTTCGAAAAAGTCAGAGGGAGAATAATATTAAATACTAAATGAGAATATATATATGTAACGTAACTCGGAGTGATTGGTGTCAACTTTGCTACCTCCTCTAGGGTTACAATTGTGTTGAACTCTTATATGAATCTCATGTCAACTTTAGGAGTTTGATATTAATATGCATTTTTCTTCATATTTTTATATTTCAATTACGGAGTAATAACTTATTTAGCTGAATAAACATGTAATAGAATTTAGGTCTATCATAAAAACACTATATTGTAATTACTCCCTAGTTGTTACCAAGTATATTACAACGGTGTATTATTATTATTATAATCTGGAAATAATAGACCTAGAAAACATTGATACAACTTGTTTTTTAGTCGTGATTCGGCTCGAGTTTTCAATAAATACTCTGTTAGCGAAACTATGAGATAATCGAACCCGAATAACCCGCTTAAAACAGGTCAAACCCAACTTGACTAATTTTATATAGCGTGAAACATATAATACTCAGAGTATTTATCTTTTCAAAATTTATACGTAAAAATTATTTAAAATTACACCACATGGTATACTATTTATAATATTTTGCTGTATGTCTAAAGAGTATTACAAGTTTAATATAAAACATCACAATAGTTTTAATACATACTCAGATATATTTGGGAAGAGATATCAAACTTCAAAATTGATTTCTTCCAAATTCGAATTATATTTCTTTTCTTCACCAAACACGACCTAAAGTACCACATTAATTGTCAACGACTCTAGTTGCTCTCACTCTTCCCCTTGAACATATTTTTAGAAAAAATACTCTGTATTCAATTTTTGTCCGTACCGGGAAAATCTTGGAAAAATCTATTATTGTTCGTGTGATCCTTTTCAACGAAAAAAAACAACTCTACATCTTATACGACGCCACTTGGGCCACGTGAGGGAGAGTTCATTGGCCCATAGTTTTGTTGAAATAAGTGGGTGGACAGCGATAAGTCTAAAATGGACACTCGGCAAATTGAGAAGAGCTAACTATTGAGCTCGTGGGCCCAATGCATTTCCACCGACGATTGGGCCTGAATTAACGGGAAAGTGTATAGTGACGATGCCAAGGACACCCGGTACACATTTGTACTCCACTTATTCCACTCTCACAAAAATTACTACTCTTTGCTTCCTCCGTTCCAAAAAAATATCTTACGGTCTCGTTTTTTGAAGTCTAAAAAAATGGAAGAAAAGTAAAATACCTATGCTTAAATTTATTTACAAGAAAATACATGTATTGGAATTAATATATTCATTCCATTGCGGTATACGATGTGTGATTGAATTTTTTTTAATTCAATTAGTCTCAAAATTGGTATAAAAATGAAAAATAAAAGTTACATACTACATCCGTTTCTGAATACTTGTGTATTTTTAATTTTTTCATACAAAATTGAATGACTTTGACTATTAATTAAATTCAATATTAGATATTGTTACAAACATTATCTTATTAGATTTATTTTATAAAATAATTTTCAAATATTATTTTATTCAATTCCAATTAAGATCATATAATTTTTATGTAATTATATGTTAACATTTTAAAGTAGTTGATGTAAAAAGTCAAAGTTGGACAAATGCTTTAGGTCGAAGGTAATATTTTGAGACGACATCAAAAAATCAACGAAACAAGAATATAACTGACATTACAATATTACTTTAATCAAATTGTGATGAAAATAAATAAAGAAAGTGAATAATGTTTGATGCCGTGTGTCGGATCTTATTTTTCGATGTTCAGAGAAAAACGGATTGTTAGGGCAATATATAGTGTTAAAAGGCATATTCGCTAAACCGGTAAGCAAAAACACATCTTTACTTTGTCTCCCCCAAAAAGAAAACGAGATTTTTTAAAAAAAATTATAGTATATCGAACATTTAAATTTAATAGACTTTTAAATTTGCTTTGGATGGGAGGCCAAAAGTGCCAAAAGATGGGTTTGGGTCTGTTTGGGAATAACCAGTGGCGGATCCAGGATTGTGAATGACTGGGGGCAGTATAGTAAAGCGGGGATTCGGGGCAGAGCCCCTGATTTTTTTTAAATATACTTTATATCATGATGAAAAAATTAATTTTATATCAAACAAATTTAAAATAAGAAAAACAAAATCTATCAAAATGTTAGTGTATCTTTAGTGTGACCTAAGGATACACTTTTTGGTGTAATTCTAGCATGATTGTTTCGATTTTCACTATCGATCGATAGGTCAGACGGGTAATTGGGAGAAAATAAATTGAGTTATGTCTCAGCAATGTTTTTAAACATTTTCCATACTATATGCCATTTTCATGATATAATTGCACGAATTTTTTAAAGATAGTTGAAAAATACTCCGTAAAAAAAAATTATTGGTGCAATTTATTTAGAAAAGGACCAAAAAAATTATGAAGGTGGTCCCAATATATATATATATATATATATATATATATATATATATATATATATATATATATATATATGCATGGTACTAAGGTATGCATATATCTTTGGAACATGGTAGAGCAGAATTTGCATGCATGAATTATAATGAATCTGTCGTCATCATCATCATCATGAGATCGTAATTAACAAGACGAATAATAATAGCTTAGTGCATAGATGGACTATATATTAACTAGGGGTGGGCAATCCGGTCCAGGAACCGGGAGTCGGAACCGGACCGCTAGGTTTGGTCCGGGTTAGGGTCGGGTCCTCTTTTCAAAAATTTCAAACGGTCCGGTCCTTACAATTTTAGGGTCGGTCCGGTTCCTCATTTTGAAATTGTATTGGAACCGGACCGGACCGTTTTTTTAAATCCCAATATTATTTTTAATATTATTTTTAGTAAATATACGGATATGTGGAAATATACCCGCCTAAGCCCTTCAATCTTTTGGTCCTTCCAATCGCAGGCAGAAAAGTAAGAAAACGTTTCATAGTCAGAGAATCGGAACCTGTGAAGATTGTGAATTTTGTTCTTTTTTGAACCCATTGACATTATAATGCCAAAATATGGTTGTCTTCTTTTTTATTATTGTTGTTGGATGATCATGGGGTGTACATTTTACTCTCATGCCCCTCTTTGTCATTGTTTTATTTTCTTTTACGCTTTTTTTATGTTGGGTGACTTAAATTAATTTATTATCCTTTTATTTTATTAATATTAGTATCATGATAGGTTCGGACCCGTTGACCCGTGGAATCGGCCCGTTTCAAACAAGCCGGGTTAGGTCCGGTTTCAATTTTAAAATTTTGAAAACCCGTTCCTACCCAAACCATTTTTAAAAAACAAGTCGAGTCCGGTTTATACAAATTTTGGCTCGGACCCGCCCGTGCCCACCCTTAATATTGGGTCTGTTTGGGAATAGCGTTAGAGATTAGCGTTAGCGTTTTGGATAAAATTTTAACGGTGCACATCGCTTTGAAAACGCTAACGCTAAACGCTACCCGTATATAGCTTTTTCAAAACGCTAACGCTGTTACCAAACAGGCACATTAACTAGTAATATACTGAGTAGTAATGTGAACAAAACTGTAGACAGAATTGTGACGAATCGCACCGGCCCATATTTATTTTGTTAGTATGTAGTGCACTTATACTATTATTGAATTGTTGTCCCTTGTCCGGTCCCCAGTTAGTTTCTTCTGAAGCAACCGTACTTTGAGTCCTCCCACTCCTACATTTTTGCAAGTTATTACTCCAAACTAATTGATCTCCAACTCTTTCTCCCACTATGTTCTTTTTCTTATTATAGTTTATATTTTGAAAATTTAAAAATTGTAGAAAATTATTAAAAAAACAATAGGCTAAAAAGACAAATAATGTAAATTAGAAAGAATTTTAAAAAAGTGTTCTGCGGGATACACAAATATGAAAAGAAAAGTTTTTTTTAGATATAGATCTGAGGGAGTATTAAGAAAAATACTAAAATATTTTTTGACAAAGAGTTTAAAAAAAATGAATCCAATAAATAACCGTAGAAGTAGACCTGGAATAAAATGTTCTTGTATTTGGAAGTTAATAATGGTCAAAATATTTAAAAATTGATTAGAAAAGTCAAAATGTTGAAAATTAAACATTACTGTTTTTTACACCGCTACACGCATGTGGCCTTTCTTATCGCACGGGACGAGCAAGGAGTTATCGTTTAAGCATTTACACTACTTCTTTTAATCATTTAATCATTTACACTTCTTTTTTCTTTCATTTTACTCCAAACCAATATATCAAATATCAACCCAATATATATGTTTCCTTCAATTTGAATTTTGAACTAACCCTTTGCTTCAAATGGGAGTACATGTATTATGTATATCATCATCAATTAAAGGTTGAATACATCATACATACATTATATATATACGGAGTACATATACACACGCACCCTAGCCTGCGGGGAACAAATTAATAAACTAAGAGAGATCGATGGACGTATTGATGATAATAATAAAAAAAATTAAAATAAAGGCTTTGATTGTGTTTTAGTACTTGTACTATATAATATTTATTAATTACCTAGTAAGCATAGAGATAATGGAGTGAAAAAAAGGTTCGTCGCAAGGAATGAAGAGGCAGCCCAAGTGGTGGTCGAACCCAAACTCTTCTTCGGCCTGGCGAAGAAGGGTTTGGAACTGGGGGGTGGAGAGGAAGGAGATGGGGACAATGTGTCTGCTCCTATTCTCCCCCACGTACACCACGAAATGCCCCTTGGGGACGTCCTCCGGTAGGGATTGTGGCTTCTTCCCCCCCAAGCTACTCGAACACCTCTTCACCATCTCCTTTATCGTCGCCTCTGTCCCCTGCAACGACGAAAACACCTTGTTTGATTTTGATTTCGTCACACCCATTGATTAATTATTTCTCTCTCTCTATATATATATATATACAGAGTACTTTTCTAATAATGAAAGATTATTAGAAATAGCAATACTACTACTAGTATAGAAGAGGGAGCTAGCTAGCTAAGCTAGGTATGGAGTGTTATTAAGTTTGGAACTTAATTAATTGGGAATTAGAGAGATGGAAGTAATTATGCATGTGTGGGTATGTATGTGCATAGATATATATAAATAGATAAATCAATAGATTCATGGTGATAATAATAATAAGGCAATGAATAAAACAAAATTTCAAATAAAAATAATGGAAGAGCCGAAGAGGATATTAATAAGGATAGGATGTAAATGGCGGAGGAGGCCGGGTGGGAACAGAGATTAGAGTGACTAGGGTAGGGGTGTCTTTGGGGAGGGTACGTGGGAGGGGAGTTTTAGCCCGTTGCTGCTCCTTATTTCGACATCATGCCCCATCCCGCCCCTTGTATTCATATTATGTTATTCCCTTCCAAATTTCATGGGAAATGTTTCTTTTTTAATTCCACAAAAAAATTGTATAGTTAATTGAGATTTCGCATTTAAAAACAGAAATATTTGCACCAAATAACACTAAAACTACCAAAGAAACAAACCAACAAATTAAATCACATTCCCCTAAAAAAAATTGGATGTCAAATAATATTGTAGATTTGTATTTTAAAAATTGGACGACTCATTTTTCCATTGGTGTGTTGAATTTTGAGATGGGAATGAGATTTAATTTGTTGGTTTGTTTCTTTGGTTGTTTAATTTGTTTGTTTTAAGTGTAAACTTTCACCACGGTTTTGCTAATTTTTGTTATTTGTTTGATAAAATAATACATTCATGTTCGCTCTTGATTTTTGCTATAAATATATATTATTGTCTAAATCCCTACCAAAAATCAAATAAAATGAATTGAAAATAACTTGAGTAAAATATCGTAAATAACTAGTGACAATTTCAATTGGTATGGAATGAGTACTTCACGTGGATGCTCGACACCTGTTTGGATGGCGATGATATGTTGTTTATATATATATATATATATATATATATATATATATATATATATATATATATATATATATATATATATATATATATATATATATATATATATATATATATATATATAGATTTTGGTTCTGGTGAAAATGCAATCTTAGGAGAGAAATGAGAATGAATGTGATGCTTTAGATTGTGAGATCTAAGGGTCAAAATTTCATCAAAATTAGATGCACCAAAATGGTGCGAAAATGCATCACGTTGAAATGTACCATAAACCTTCGAAAATGCACTATCTCAAAATCTGATCGCAGGATGTAATCTGAGCCGCACGATGCATTAGATCCGACGGCTAGATTTTATTCTCATTTCTCTCCACAAGGTGCATTCTCACGGGAACCGGCTCCTATATATATATATATATATATATATATATATATATATATATATATAATATTAATAATTAAGTAAAAAAAAGTATGCTTCCATTCGATCGAATATGTGATACTCCGTACTAATTATTTCACGATTCTTTTTTTATTGCACACTAATGTACAGACAAAATGTACAATTTCTGTCTAAATTATTTTTCCCTTCTTTAGGTGTCCAACAAAATCCTCCGTTCATCCCAAAATAATGAGTAGTCCTTATTATATCTTTTTCTTTTTTAAAAAAAATGTTTTAAAAAAAACATTAATTTACACTTTTATTAAGAAAGTTTTTGTGCTTCATATTTTTTAAATTTATCTCTCTTTTGTATAAATTTCAACTACATAATTACATTGTGCATCATTAGGACAGTGGGAGTATATATTTATCCACACATGTAGAGGAAGCAAAAAAAAAAAAATCAAACTTGGAAATCTGCAATCGCCTGTTTTCATGTAGGTTTGCTATTATACACTTGATTTTGTTGGCAAGAAAAAAACAAAAAGGGATTGAAGGGAGAACCATATATCCACCTCGAAATAATGAGGGAAAAAATAAAGTGAAAGCAAAACATTGAAAATATACCAAAATAGAAGATTCATATTTTTATTTCTGAAATACGAATGTCCAATCATGATTATATACATTATCAAAAAAATAGTATGAAATACCCATACACAATATTATATTACCACAGTCCGAATTCTTTTAGAAATAAAAATATGAAACTTTTATTTTGATACTTTTAGTATGTTTTACTTATATTTATGGTGATTTCTTAAATAAAATTTGTAATCTTCCTTTTTCCCCAAGAAATCTAATATTGGCTTCTTTCATTTTTGAGGTAGAAGAGAACATTGGGTTTATTCCATCTCTTTTAAATAACGCTGGCTCCAAGAATTTGATGGCCTTAGACAAGATGAAAAAATGGGCATTGGCCCTAATGAATTAAATTATACTCTCTTCTCTCCGTTTCTTAAAACTCTTCCTCTTTCATTTTTTTTGTTTTTTTTAAAACACTTCCCCTTTCTATTAAAAAACCACTTTTACTCCTACTTTTTCATACCCTACCTATCACATCATACTTTTTCACTAACAACTAAACTATCACATCTTACTTTTATCCACCACATCAAGGGCAAAATTGGAAAGTCAACTACTACAATTTAACACTTCCTTATTTTCCCCCAAAATCAAAAGAGGAACTCTTTTGAGAAACGGAGGTAGTATAAATTATTTTCTTTTAAACAATAATTAAAATTATAAATACACATAGAAATTAAAATTTATAATCTTATGATTGAATATCGTAATAGCTACCCTAAAAATTAAATTTTTAATTTTTTTTTAATAAAAAACAATACTATTCTTGCATTTTGATTGATTGTTTGATGAAATAAAATCTTCTTATCACATCTTATTTTCTAAATCTTTTGATTTACTTTTTAAATATATAAAAAAATTTAAATTTCTATATCAATCTTCAAATAAAATATAATAAAAAACTTAAATTTCACTTCATTTTGCGTAAAGTGTAGGATATTTTGAGACAGATGGAGTATAACAATTTCAAAAAGTTACTTCTAATTTTTTAACAATACATATATTAAGAGAAATAATCTTTCTGTCTCAAAAATATTATCATAGTTTGATTTTTTGGTCAAATTATACATTGCTTTGATCATACATTATATATATATTTATTAAATAACTAAAGTTATAAAATTTTGATATATCTAAACTATATTTTAAAATGAGCCCAATTTTATTAGATTTACATTATAATTAAATATATTTTTCTCACAATTTAATTTGTGATCCATATGTTATACAGTTTGACAAAAAAAGTATTTTTGTTGTAATTTTTTCAGACGAAAAGAGTATTTTTTAAAAGAGTAACTAAGTTTGTGTTTGTTGGGGAGAATCTGATGGGGATCAGCCGTCGAAGGAACAGTTTGGATCTTTGTAAACCGTGTGAGACATGCAAATAAAACATGAATATTTGTGAATGGACGTTGCATATACTCCGTATTATTACGAGTATTGTTTTGTTAATGTATTTTTTAATAAATTATTGTGGTTTAAATTTAATTAATAAATGAAGTTTTATTATTTTAATTTTACAAAATGTGTATTAAAAAATGTAAAAAAGTAAAGGTTTGAAGCCTCACTTTGACATAGAGCTTCAAATTAAACCTATTTCTAGTAAAACTGTGAATTGAAGTACGTTAAAGCTGACATGTCCGAGAAAAATTTTGAACCCTAGTTTGAAGCTACGGGACTTTAAGAGTATTCGAGTGCTCTAAATAAAAGAAAAAAATCTTTTGATGGGAGTATTAGAAAAATGTTTGGTTCACAAACACAATGGTCACAAACTTCACAAATTTACTGTATTTTTGAATTTCAATAAGGCCCCGTTTGGTACACGGAATTTAAATTATGGAATTGGAATTTAGGACTTCAATTCTGATTCTAGTGTTTGGTAGCACAAATATTATGTAGATTTGGAATTGATAGCGCAAAAAATGAATAGGAATTGGTAAAATTCAATTCTATGGAATTGAATCCAATGGAATTTCAATTCCAATTCAATTCTAATTCCGTCAATTCCGTATAACAAACGGACCCTGAAAAAAATAAATAGTCTAAAAATAAGTTTAAAATGAGAATTAAACCATAAATATTAAATTTATAAAGTTTGTGATCATTCTGTTTGTGAACCTGGAATGGCGGGGAGTATTATATGCGTAGTACAATCTTTAACAGACCGACCGAGGTACTTCGCATTAAATAACAGACGTAGCCCAAATTGTTTGAAAATTCCAAAGCATTATCTACGAGAACTAAAGACAACATAAGCCCATAGCTCTGAAAGTAGTAGGCCCTATAAGCATTGATTGTTTTTTGGCGGGTATTACTGTGTTAGAAAAACTAATTGCGGCCCGTTTTTTAATTTTAACATTTTTACAAGATTATTTAACGAGCATTTAACTTTTTTGTTAATATGAATTATTAAAAATTTATTTAAAACAAAATTGGAGACGATGTTCCTCGAGAAGACCTTCATTAAATTACTTGTAGAATTTCTTATACGAAAATTTAAAGTTGAGACAGATTAGAGCATCTCCAATCATTCCATTTTGGCTTGCTAAAAGTTATGAAATAACACATCAATCTTTTTTTCTCATATCTAATAGTTGTGTTATATTATAGCAAGTTTGCTAAATAATAAGTTTGACTTGCTAAATATAACAAGCTCTCTAAAATATAGCAAGTTTGTAAAATAGATTAGCAACTCATGGTTGGAAAATGAAACAAAAGGTTGTTTGCTATATCACTATTCACTTGCTAAAATATAAAAATAGCAAACTAATGTAGTAAGCATGATAGAATAATTGTCGATAATTTTTTATGTAGATAATTACTCATTGAATGATAGAATATTAGAAAAGTGTTCGTGAATAAAAGTAATCAAAGTAAGAAAAATAAACATGGTAACAACATTATATGAATAACTAAAATAAGTTGGAGTACTCCCTTCTTCTCAGTTACATACTTCGTACTATATTATTCACAGGTCAATCTTTAATCATTTTATTTATTTATTTTCATTATTTATTTAATAAAATAGTATTGTTGTGTCACCTTTTGTTTTGTAAATTTTTTATGTGATTTT